AAGGTGGGGTTCAAGCAAAACAAGGAAAAAAGTGACATAGTGGGTGGGGAGGAAAAATATTTTTCGGGGAAAATTTAGGCTATCAAATAGCGCAAAAGATGGAAAATTGAAAATGATTTCCTACTTCCATGGAAAATTTTGTATATCAAACAGGGCTTAAGTGCAATTTTTGAAAGATTTAATACCGTAAAAGGCACAAATAAAAGATTTGTGTCAAATTTGCTATTAACGAAAGTTTTGATATCGTGGTTGCAATTCCTCAATTATAACATTATTGGACACATAACCCTACCATGGGTACAAAGATTCTAGTCAAAGACCATAATACCAGGATGAAATTATTTGTACATTTCCCCCTACCACTCAACAGGAATAGGGTAGAACACACTGCAACACTACAAGATACCAGTGGAACACATTTGCATCCAATAAAAGCTTCATACGGTAGAAGAATGGGAAAGATTCTCAACTGACCAAGACTGACCATTAAGAGTGAAAGAATGAATCACACGAATATGTTCGACCATGGCTCTCTCTTCACCCACCCTTTTGATTGAAGCTATAAAATCCTGGTTCATGTCATATAGTGTAAGGCATTCGACCTTGGATAGTTTATTGATGCCCAATGGAGGCATTTTCAGTTTTGGACATCTGCTGAGAGAAATTTGTTGAAGTCCAGGCATCACTCCTTCTTCAAATTTAATTGTGTTTAGCTCGGAAAATTGTTCGATAACCAACATCTTTATTTGCTTGAAGCTTGAAGTTTCAAACGTCAACCCTTCTCCCATAAAACAATCCACCAGATGAAGCTCCACGAGATTCGGAAGATTCTTAAGAGAATTCAGTGGACTATTCTTCAACCTAGAACACTTCAGACGAAGACAAAACAGATTGCTGAGTGAAGAGATCCACTCTGGGAATTTTTCCAGACGCCCTTTCAAGTATAGCCGCTGAAGAGAAAGTGGTGGTCCGGCAACCAAATCACCCAGTTCAAGATAATCTGACTTGGTGGCAGTACATACATCCAAAGTTGTAAGATGTTCCATCTTTTTGATAGAGGCACACAAGTCTCCACCAAATTCTTTCTTGAGCCCAGTTAGTCCCAGCTTCTTCAGTTGGCTTAAATGTTTCAACTCCTGTATGATCCTACCATTTTGGCCAGCATCAACCCGTGACAATGTTTGCAGATTTGTCAAGTTTTGAACCCCTTCAAATACCTTCACTCCATGCACAGAGTCAAAATCTGCAAAATTTCTCACAGTTTTCTCAAATGACAATTTCTGCAGATTGGTCAAGTTTTCAATCCCTTTAAATACCTTCCCTCCTTGCACAGAGTCAGAATCTGCAAAATTGTTCACAGTTTTTCGCCCGGCAAGAAGATGACGAAGTTTCTTCAGTCGCCAGACTTTTTTTGGAAGCTCGGTCACATTAGTCTGCTTGAGGTCCAACGTTTCAAGGCAACAAAGCTTCTTTATGGACTTGGGATTAATTGCCTTTATTTTAGTATCCCTTAAACTAAGATACCTTATGAGAGTGAATTTATCAATTTGTTTTGGAAATTCTGTCAAAAGTGAGCCTTCCAAGTCTACGACTCTGAGCAATTTGAAATCCTGAAAACTGTTACCAGAATTATTATTGGAGCCAAAGACGAACAGGGAACGAACATCACTGAAATCTCTATCCCGTGAACAACACCTGCAAGCTCTTGACTGTTCCCTGATGAACAAGTTCTTGAATCTCCCTGCAGCCTCTTGAATGTTCACTGACGAACAAGTGCAATCACTTTGAACAGATAGGTGGCGTCGTAGTTTCTGCTTTGGACTATTTTGGTTAGAGATAATTGATATAAAATTCTCATCCTCGCACTTTTTAAAAATAAATTTAAGCACAAGGTTGTGAACTCGACAGTGCCTGGGTGGATGTCCATCAGAATAGCATGTAGAAACCTCAACCAAATTCCACAATATTAGCTCGTTGAGAATCTCCTCTGCTACCTCCTCAGCTGTTTTGCCATCTTTTTCATTTGCAAATTTTTCTGCTACCCACAAGCGCATGAGCCTTCCACAATCAACATCGTAACCTTCGGGAAAAATGCTGAAGTACAAGAAACAACTCTTAATATCTCTCGGGAGATCCTTGTAGACAGATGACAACATATTGTTGACATCTGGATCGTCAAAATTAAGAGGATTAACTGTAACTCGAGTCCGCATACCAGAACCCGAAGCGTTAAACTCTTTAATAATTTGATTTTGTTGGACAAAATCATCTATCTTCCTCTTGATGCATTTTATCTTCTCAAAGATATCGTTAAGTGGACGATAATGGAAAAATTCTGAGGCTTTCTGAGCGAGTTCGTTCCTCCGAGATGGGTGTTGCGTATGAAGTTCAAACTCCTCGAGAACATCCACAATTTGTCTAGCAATCTTTCGAACATTTTCCACATGACGTGCGAGCCATTTGCTGTGATCAGCATGATCTTCATCATGGTTCGTTATGAAGGCCTGAAGCGTCTCTAGCCAACTTTTGATACTCTCAACTTCAACTATAATGTGTTTCTTGAGATTCAGACGTTGGCTGAGAAGTGAAATCACCATCTCAACCGAGACCAATGCTCCAGTAACGGAAAGTTCTGCCATATTATTGTTGCTTCTTCTTCTTCGTCTGAGCGTAGTATCCTTATTTAATGATCGATTTGATGGTGTTTTGGGCTTAGGTCTAAGTATATGTAGACTATAAAGAATACAAGACAGAGAGAACTGCTCGCTCCAATGGATTTCAGTTCCTTTATACAATTCATGGTTGACATTGACGTTGCCTCACTAGTTATACCGCGTTAAAGTCTTTCACGATCTAGAAACCAAGTTGCTATATACCAATTGAATTACTATATATTTTCGCTGAAATTGGGGGAGTTGAAAATTTGAAATGAGTTGAAATTTACTTGAAGACCGTTTATTAATTCTAAAAAAATATACTTTCTAGAGTCTTACCGCGTTATCAAGAAACCAAGTTGCCACATACCACTTGAATTTCTATATATTTTCGCTGAAATTGGGGGAGTTGAAAATTTCAAATGAGTTGAGATTTACTTGAAGACCGTTTATTAATTCTAGAAAAATATACTTTCTAGAGTCTTAGTTCAGCTATTCAAGGTTAATAAGCATTAGCTCCGTTTGGCTCCCTTTATTTCATATTATAACAAGAGAAATAGTAATTTTTTTTAAGAATATGTGATTAAAAAATAAAAATAAAAATTGAAATTAGGTGTAATATTATTTTATTGCAAAACATGTGATTGATAAGAAGAGAGAAAAAAAGAATTATAATTTAATGGGGGTCAAACGGGGGCATGAATCTAATTTCCTGAATAAAAACTTCTCATTATTGACGTAGTAAGAGATCCTTAATTATGATTACCTAAATTTATTATCAACCAATTAGAATTGATCTAAAAACTTCTTATTATTGACGTGGTAAGAAAACCTTAATTATGGTTATCTAAATTTATGATCGTTTCAAATAATTATATCTTATTTGAGCCTCATTTTTTGTTTTTTTTTAACGAAATGCATTTTGAAATATTGATTTAATGGAGAATGTATGGTTCAAAAATAAAGAAAAGTTTTGTGTTAGCGCCCTGTTTGAGCCAAATTATTATGAAATGAGAATGAAAAATATAATCTTTATTGGGGCCCACATAAGAGATAAAAAAATTGAATTTAAATGTGGATGTGATGGATAACGGTTACATTTTTTATTTTAATGAGATAATGTAAATCAAACGGAGGCTAATATTATTTTATTGAATAAAGTGTAAAAGAATTAAAATTTAATATAATTAAAATTTTCTTAGCTTTAATCATGTCCGGGGGCCGGAGATCAGGAATAATGGATCTATTACATTATAATTTATTTTTTAGTTTTAGTTAATTTACTTACTGCAGGAATAAACAATACCAAATTTCACACTAGTATGGTAACATGACGCATACTATCTATATATGAATAACGAAGCCAGACGAAGACCACCTTTACCACGAAGCAGATAACGTATTGTCCTTTTATATTTGGCAGATTCCTAGAAAGTTAGAAATGACATTATTCGTGACGCATCATGATGACAGTGTAAGTTGTCATACACCACTTGATAAAAGATTCCAAATGAGATGTATGAACCTTGACTTTGACAATCTATGCATAAAGACCAAACACCTACTATAGTATGATCCCGCATCAATCAAAAATTAAGGTAACCTTTTTAGGAAAGTTTTTTATAAGAAGTAAAAACAAAAGCAAAAATCATGTCAAATGAGTTCTGAATACCTGTATGACACAACTAGAAACAACAATATATTGACGCAAAAATAAAAAAATATGAGTTGCTGTTGCTAAATATCAATGTTATCGGGCATTAATACCAAACCAAGCCTCAAAGCATCATTAAGGAATCACAAACATTCTAACCATTTCTTTCAGAGATTTCCTCCACATGATTAAGATACAAGATGGAAGGAAATTTCAGAATTTACAATTAAATAGATTGAAGAAACACGGAGAAAAAAAAAAAATCAAATTTTGACTCGTAAATTTGATTAGTTCAATTGATATTTACGTCAAAATTGCTTAAACATAATATTGCTTGTGGGTGAAGGAGATCTGTCTTAGATTATGTAGTAAGAAGATTTCTACAACTTTTCTACCTCGATTTGTGCACGCCAAGAATTCATTTACATACAAGCAGGGGGCGAGGGGGAGGGTCTGACTGTCTTAGATTATGTAGTAAGAAGGTTTCTACAAATTTTCTACCTCGATTTGTGCACGCCAAGAATTCATTTACATACAAGTAGGGGGCGAGGGGGAGGGTCCGGACCACCCCCCCTCCCCCAATTTTTTGACAAAAATATTTTAAAATTTTTTTTATTTACCATTTTGTCCTCGAGTAAAATTTCTAAGCAACTACCTACAATTTCTCGATTATTCTCCTCCATTCAAGTTTCCCTTCGTCTTTACAGAACCTGGGCTGGGCTGCGGCATCTTCTCTTCCCGTTTTTAGTGCACCGCACCAACGCCTTACCTGTTCAGAAGTTCAGGTGAGTCACGGTTCTTCTCTTCCCGTTCTATTTGGTCTTTTAATTTGTGAGTAGTGGATACTGGATATTGGTTGTTGTTGTTTGACAAATTGGGTGTTTTTTTGGTCATTTCCCGATTCTTCTCTTCCATCTTCAAAACTTGCATGCTGTGGTTTTTGGCATTTTTGATTTCCTGATTCTTCTCCTCCGTCTTCAAAACCTGTAGGCTGCGTTTTTTAGGTAGATGGCCAGAGAATTTTTCCAAACAATCTCTTTGCAAATTAGAAAATTTCTACTTATTTGTATAGTTGTATTGTTTATCATTTGTCATGTAAGAGTTTTCTCACTCCTCAGGCTCAGTGATGGAAAAGTATTTCAAAAGAGTGTAAATTTCATCCATTTTCGATTGAACAAAACATCGATGAAAGGAATGTTCGGATTCATATCCGGGATGAAGGGGATGAAAGTGATGAGATTGATGTTGGGATTGAGAAGACAGTGATGAAAATGAAATAGAAAATATGTTTTGAATAAAAACTACTGCAAGAGAATGGATCGTTCAAGTAATAAAATAGATTTTAGAGTCCAAATATCGTTTCCACANCACTCAAGCAATAAAATGGATTTTTGAGTCCAAGTATCATTCCCCACAGAGATTTACTTGTTTTTTTTTACCTATTCTGACCTTAACTGAATCGTGAAATATGGTTGAGTTTTGTAACTAAATTGTAGTTAAACTAAATGAAAGTAATAGCGGATGAATTAGTTGAATTAAATGCAAATTATATTATTGAATGCAAATTGAAGTAACTCATAGAAAAGAAACGCACTAGGTTCACGAATCCCATGCAATGATCTATTTTAATTCTAGTTCTACAAAATTAACAACATGTTTGAATTGAAGAAGAATCAATATTTCTAACATATTCAA